GGGTGCTGAGCCTGGGGGTGCTGACTCTGGGGGTGCTGTGCGCGGGGGTGCCGAGCCTGGGGGTGCTACTGCGGAGGGTGCTGGGCCTGGGGGTGCTGAGCCGGGGGGTGCTGTGCCTGGAGCTGCTGAGCTAGGGGGTGCTGAGTCTGGGGGTGCTGAGTCTGGAGCTGCTGAGCCTGGGGGTGCTGGGTCTGGAGCTGCTGAGCCTGGGGGTGCTACGTCTGGAACTGCTGAGCCTGGGGGTACTGCGTCTGGGGCTGCTGAGCCTGGGGTTTCTCCTGGTGCTGCGTCTTGGCGGGAGCCCCTCTCTCCACCGGAGCTGCGCGAGTGGTTTGCTCGCCGCTGGAGGCGTACTGCCGGAGCTGGAGCTTCTTCGACTGTCGAGGGTGCTGGTGCCGCCGGTCCCGGAGCTGCTGGGCCTGCGGGTCCTACTGGAGCTAGAGCTGCTGGAGGTGTTGGTGCTGAGACTCCAGCTGTCTGTCCTGGAGGTGGTTCTGCTGCTGGTGCTGCTGGAGGTCCTGCCGCTGAGGGTGCTGGTGCTGTCCCTGCTGAGCCTGGAGCTGCCGCGCGGCCTCGGCCGTACTTCGTTCCGCTCCTGCAGCAGGTTCTTGGTCTTTCTCCTCCGGTAGAGTGTCCACAGCCTGTCCAGTCGCAGTCACTGTTGGAGCCTTCCTCCCCACTGCCTGCTCCCTCTCCTTACACTGGTCCTACTGGAGGTCTTGCTGAGCGTCGTGAGCCTGCGTCTCGTCCCGCGTCGCCTGTTCGTGCTGCTCGCGCTAGTGGTCGCGGTTCGCTTCAGCGTCCTCCTCCTGCCCCTGGCACGCACCGGATGTCTCTGCGTCCGTCCACTGCTCCTCTGCGTGCCCCTTTGCCTTCTCCTCCTGAGTCCTCTCTTCCTGCGCTTGCCGACCCTGAGTCGGACTCCCTTCGTGCTGCCAGTCCTACTGTCACGCGTCTCCTTGCTACTGTCGTCACTGACCCCTCTTTTGAGTCCACTGCTGCGTCTGCTCTTGTCGCCGAGCTCGTCCACTTTGCTGCTCGCTGTCGTCTAGACTACGCTGCTAGTCTTGTTGCTGAGTCTGCGTCTGTCTGTCCTCCGTCCGTCGGGGGTGAGTGTGCTCTTGGCACGGACGTCCTAGAGGCCAGGCAGGAGGAGTTACAGTGTCTGGCTGCTGCTTCACCTCATCTCGCGTCTGTACTGCTTGCTCCTGAGGGAGACCCGGATGCACTAGACATCCCGACTCCGCGCTCCTACGCGGAGGCCGTAGAGGGTCCCTACTCCTCTCAGTGGCAGGCAGCTATGGATGCAGAGATGGCTTCGTGGAAGTCCACAGGCACCTACGTTGACGCGGTTCCCCCTCCTGGGGCGAACATCGTCAGTGGCATGTGGTTCTTCAGGGTGAAGCGGCCGCCAGGCTCTCCACCTGTCTTCAAGGCGCGGTACGTCGCTCGTGGCTTCAGTCAGCGGCAGGGAGTTGACTACTTTCAGACCTTCTCTCCCACCCCGAAGATGACCACTCTTCGGGTGCTGCTACACATAGCCGCTCAGCGCGACTACGAGCTTCACTCTCTCGACTTCAGCACTGCGTTCCTGCAGGGTAGCCTGCACGAGGAGATCTGGCTGCGCCGTCCACCTGGCTTCACTGGGACTTTCCCTCCTGGCACCCAGTGGAGCCTCCGACGGCCAGTCTACGGTCTCCGCCAGGCACCGCGTGAGTGGCACGACACACTGAGGACTACGCTTGCGGCTCTTGGGTTTGCTCCTTCTACTGCTGACCCGTCGCTGTTTCTGCGCACCGACACTTCACTTCCGCCGTTCTACATCCTCGTGTACGTCGACGACTTGGTCTTTGCCACAGCGGACACTGCTGGACTCGCCTACGTGAAGTCCGAGCTGCTGAAGAAACACACGTGCACAGACCTGGGTGAACTGCGCAGCTACCTTGGCTTGCAGATCACTCGGGACAGAGCACGCCGCACCATTACCTTGACTCAGTCACACATGGTGCAGCAGGTCCTTCAGCGCTTCGGCTTCACGTACTCCTCGCCTCAGGCCACTCCTCTGTCTACCCGCCACTCGCTCTCAGCTCTGCCTTCGGATGAGTCCGTAGAGTCGAGTGGCCCGTACCCAGAGCTTGTTGGCTGCCTCATGTACCTGATGACCTGCACACGACCTGACCTTGCATATCCTCTGAGCATTCTTGCACGCTATGTTGCTCCTGGGAGACACCGACCAGAGCACATGGCTGCAGCGAAGAGGGTATTGCGCTACCTGTGCAGTACGTCGGGCATGGGGCTAGTGCTTGGAGGGCGGAGTCCAGTGGTCCTTACAGGTCACGCGGACGCTTCTTGGGCTGACGACCAGGCTACGCAGCGGTCGTCACAGGGTTACACCTTCAGCCTTGGTTCCGGCTCTGTCTCGTGGCGGGCTACTCGTTCGTCTTCGGTTCTCAGCTCCAGTTGTGAGGCTGAGATCTACGCAGGGGCCATGGCTGCACAGGAGCTTCGCTGGCTCACCTACCTGCTGACTGACCTTGGAGAGCCGCCTCGTTCTCCTCCAGTGCTGTACGTAGACAACAAGGCCATGCTGGCCTTGTGCCGAGAGCAGCGTCTGGAGCACAGAACGAAGCACATTGCTCTTCGCTACTTCCTTGCTCGTGAGCTACAGCAGCGTGGACAGTTGCGGCTTGCGTACGTGGCCTCTGAGGCCAACACTGCTGATGTGTTCACCAAGGCACTTGCGCCTTGTGACCATCAGCGCTTCTGCACCCAGCTGGGTCTTGTGCCTGTCTTGCCTCACTTGCTCTCCTCTTGACTTTACTTGTACTGTGACATATATATACCTGCTCTTGCTTGTCTAGCTTTATATATATGTCTGTACTCTTGCATGTGAACTGGCCTTTGGCCTTGCTCTTGTGCACGGACTGTGTGGTGACTTTGTGATCCACCCTGAGCTTTGCTTTGTCTTGCTTGACTGGTCTTGTGACCCCTTGTTCTCCCCCACTTTGCCTATGGGGGTGTGTCAGAACATATATATAGCTTATACTATTGTGTAGGCTGTAGTGGGGTATCCCATAGGGGGTACAACCCAGTTAGGGTTTCCTATTTGTACTCACTTCATTCATAGTTCATTCATTCTCGTTCTATTCTCAACAGACACCTGGGCGAACGGGGCACGCTCATCCATCAGCATACCCTCAAACCAATCTGAGGGCCTGTCAGGGACTATAGTGAGTATAATATGATTTCACGCGTACATTACAGACTGTACTGACCTACAACAAATATGAGAGATTATTCAGCAAATATAATTTGTCCCCAATCTATTAGAACGTTATCATAAAACAACACTTTTGGTACTGTAAGGAAAATGCTCTATACACCCCAGTCCTCTTCGGGATTGCTTGAGAAATTGTGGAAACACTTAAAAGCAGGAGGCCATTCTTATCCCTACACAACATGCTTGTACAGATTCGATTGCTTCTGACGGTGTTGCTTCTTTTCAAGCCTCCCAGTCAATCCCTGTCCAGCCACAGAAGCTTCACAGCAGCACCACCAGCACCACAACAAGCAGCAATGCAGGTCACCGTGATGAAATCAGCACCTGTAAGGGTACATTCCGCTGTGGACACATGTCCCAATCGATGTGTTGTCAGAATGTTATTTGTCTAGCTTGCAGTGGGGTGCTCAATAGTGAGTACAACCCCTTAGGGTTTGCCATTTTGTGTGTCCTGCTGCTTCCTAGTCCCTCATTCTTCCTTCCAATTCTCCTTCGTAAACCCTAACTCCTAGTTCTAGAGCAAGCCCACCTACCTCTTAGTGTGGGCCTAGGCTACTAAGCCTAGGCCCCACACCTACTATTTTAACATGGTATCTAGAGCCGGCATGATCCTGCCGCCTAGTTCATCGGGCCCACCACCTACTTCCGTTGCCGTACTATTCGCCGCGCGCCCCGTGGTGCGCGGCATTGCATTTTCATCCCGCCACGCGCTTCGAACGCGTGGCGGCTTTTTCTGCCCGCCGCGCGCTCGGGGCGCGCGGCGGTTTTCCCGTCCGTCGGAGCGCCCTCGAGGGGGCCTGCGCGCTGCCCTCCCCGCTGCTCGTCACGGCGCCCCCTGCGGGACCCGCGCGGCGTCGCCCTACTCGTCGCGACGTCCGTGCGGGACCCGCGGGGCGTCGCCCCTGCTCGTCGCGACGCCCCCTGTGGGACCCGCGGGGCGTCGCCCCTGCTCGTCGCGACGCCCCCTGTGGGACCCGCGGGGCGTCGCCCCTGCTCGTCGCGACGCCCCCTGCGGGACCCGCGGGGCGCCGTCAGATCCTGCAGCAGCAGCCGCCGCCGCCCTGCAGCAGAAACCGCCGCCAGGCCTGCAGCAGCAGCCGCCGCCAGAGCCTGCAGCAGCAGCCGCCGCCAGAGCCTGCAGCAGCAGCCGCCGCCAGAGTCTGCAGCAGCAGCCGCCGCCAGAGCCTGCAGCAGCAGCCGCCGCCGAGCCTGCAGCAGCAGCCGCCGCCAGGCCTGCAGCAGCTGCCGCCACCAAGCCTGCAGCAGCAGCCGCCGCTCTACCACCAGCAGCAGCCGCCGCCGCTCTGCCGCAGCAGCCACCGCCACCCAGCAGCAGCAGCCGCCGCCAGAGCCTGCAGCAGCAGCCGCCGCCGAGCCTGCAGCAGCAGCCGCCGCCAGGCCTGCAACAGCTGCCGCCACCGACCCAGCAGCAGCAGCCGCCGCTCTACCAGCAGCAGCAGCCGCCGCCGCTCTGCCGCAGCAGCCACCTCCGCCCAGCAGCAGCAGCCGCCGCCAGAGCCTGCAGCAGCAGCCGCCGCCAGCGCCTGCAGCAGCTGCCGCCCCTGGACCCGGTACGCTCTGTGCTGCCCTGCCTGTGCTGCCCGTGCCTGTGCTGCCCGTGCCTGTGCTGCCCGTGCCTGTGCTGCCTGTGCCTGTTGCTGCCCGTGCGTGTGCTGCCCTGTGCTGCCTGTGCCTGTTGCTGCCCGTGCCTGTGCTGCCCATGCCTGTGCTGCCCGTGCCTGTGCTGCCTGTGCCTGTTGCTGCCTGTGCCTGGTGCTGCCCGTGCCTGTGCTGCCCGTGCCTGTGCTGCCCGTGCCTGTGCTGCCTGTGCCTGTTGCTGCCCGTGCCCGTGCTGCCCTGTGCTGCCTGTGCCTGTTGCTGCCTGTGCCTGTGCTGCCCGTGCCTGTGCTGCCCGTGCCTGTGCTGCCTGTGCCTGTTGCTGCCTGTGCCTGTGCTGCCCGTGCCTGTGCTGCCCGTGCCTGTGCTGCCCGTGCTTGTGCTGCCTCTGCCTGTTGCTGCCTGTGCCTGTGCTGCCCGTGCCTGTGCTGCCCGTGCCTGTGCTGCCCGTGCCTGTGCTGCCCTGTGCTGCCTGTGCCTGTTGCTGCCTATGCCTGTGCTGCCCGTGCCTCTGCTGCCCGTGCCTGTGCTGCCCGTGCCTGTGCTGCTTGTGCCTGTTGCTGCCTGTGCCGGGAGCTGCCCGTGCCTGTGCTGCCCGTGCCTGTGCTGCCTGTGCCTGTTGCTGCCTGTGCCTGTGCTGCCCGTGCCTGTGCTGCCCGTGCCTGTGCTGCCCGTGCCTGTGCTGCCCGTGCCTGTTGCTGCCCGTGCCTGTGCTGCCCTGTGCTGCCTGTGCCTGTTGCTGCCTGTGCCTCTGCTGCCCGTGCCTGTGCTGCCCGTGCCTGTGCTGCCCGTGCTTGTGCTGCCTGTGCCTGTTGCTGCCCGTGCCTGTGCTGCCCTGTGCTGCCCGTGCCTGTGCTGCCTGTGCCTGTTGCTGCCCGTGCCTGTGCTGCCCTGTGCTGCATGTGCCTGGTGCTGCTCGTGCCTCGCGCTCGCGCCCTCGTGCGCTCTGCTACTGTCTGCGCCCTCGTGCGCACTGTTTCTGCTCTCCCCCCTCCCCCCCCCCCCCCCGTTTGCGGGTATGGGGGTGGCTGGTGTGCATTCCTCCCTTTGCTCCTCCTCCTCCTTCGTCTCCCACTGCTGCAGCTGTCGCTGAGGGGGGTGGTTATGTGGGAGACTGGGGTTTAGGGTTTAAGGGGGGTGCGTGGGAGTGGAGCTAGCGGTGTAGCAGCGGGTGTGTGTCAGGGGGGTGGGACTGTTTGGGGAAGCTGCATGGAAGTTGCCGTACTGTTGTCCGCAGCACCTGTAGTCCGGGGCGCTGTCCCGGTAGCCCAGTGAGCTAGACTTCTACGCCAGCCGCCCGTGGGTCCGTTGCTCGTCTGCCGCTACTTTAGCCGCGGGGCCTGTTACTCCTGTAGTCCGGGCGCTTAGTCCGGTAGCCGCTGTGCCAGTCTGCCTCCTGTTGCCCGTGTGTCTGCAGCTTCAGCCGTCTCCTCCTATCTCCTCTCCCCTCACTCTCTCTCCTCCTCCTCACTTGCCCGTTGTGACTACCACTAGCTGTGCTCATAATTCTTAACTTTAAACTATTGCTTCTTTAACTTGTGCTCAGAATGTGTGGTGACATTGTGATCCACCCTGAGCTTGTACTGCTTTGCCTGCTCTGCTGATTACACCCCACTTTGGCTATGGGGGTGTGTCAGAATGTTATTTGTCTAGCTTGCAGTGGGGTGCTCAATAGTGAGTACAACCCCTTAGGGTTTGCCATTTTGTGTGTCCTGCTGCTTCCTAGTCCCTCATTCTTCCTTCCAATTCTCCTTCGTAAACCCTAACTCCTAGTTCTAGAGCAAGCCCACCTACCTCCTAGTGTGGGCCTAGGCTACTAAGCCTAGGCCCCACACCTACTATTTTAACATGTGTCCCAATCAGGGGTTTTTTTATCAGTGTAATTTACTCTGTTTCTCTGAAAATCAGAGTGGTTTTTAGGGGGGCACTCTGTACCTGCTAGGTATTTTTTTTTAGAGTTACTTGTTTTCTGATCAGCCAGGGTTTTTGTGTAAGTTCACTCTGGAGCGCCAGTGTTCCTTTCTCGGATAGTGAGTTTACTCTGAACGGGGGATACATGTACCCCCCCGACCCCCCTAGGTCCCCCTTATCCCCACGACGCCGGTTTGGACCGGAGCGCAGGGGATATCAGTGTTGTTTCGCCCGTGTGTTGGCACAACCTGAGGTGCCGATTGGCCGGAATGGCATATTTCGTGCCAGCGCACTCAACTGGCCACCCAGTGGATACATCGATGGCTTTGCGTACCCCATTAGCAATGAACAACTTCAACTTTCAGGCATGATACGGCAGCTTCCTGTGGTGCACTGAATTCGTGCGCGGCGCGCACATCCACACCTGTTGCTCAGCAGGCATACGGGGTCACCACCAAACCCCATCCTGTCTGAGCCATTATGTTTCTTCCACCCAGCACTGCTCTTCAACGTTCCAGTCTAGCGAGTGTTCCGAGGGCTTCTCCAGCCACAGACCCGCCTCCCTAACCTTTTTTTTTTGCCGTCAATATCATGGATACTAGCGACGCCGAGGGAGACGCGGCTGATCCCGACGACAGGCCGACATGTATCACACCCCCTGCGACAGGGCTTCAGTTTATCCGCGCTGTGCATGCAGATAACGCTTGCGATGAGGAGGAGCTGGCCGATGGCGGTACCGAATGGATGCGCCGTCCTGGCAAGGAAAGTGGCGGCATGGAAGATGCGTACGACGATTGGTGTCCTTCTCCGCGCCCGATGAATGACGCTGCTGAGTCCGACGGTGTTGGTGAGTGGACCGCCTCGCCGCGAAACGAGGTTGCTGCAGAGCCGGCCGAAACGGTTGCAACGCAGGTCGTCGATGCGGCCACTCCATTCGCTTCGAAGAAGCGACGGTACACACAGCAGGTTTTGCAGTGGGGAACACCGCCTCCGAAGCCCGTCGCTCCACCTCCCCGTGCTGCCCCACCCCCCATTCGTCCCCTTACAGACGAGGAGAAGAAGGAGAAGGCGTACCTGAAGGCGCAGAAGAGCTACAAGTCTGATTGGCTCCCGAAGTTTGACTGGCTGATTCTGGACAAGACGCCAGAGGGTGACCCGTGCCTGCGCTGCAGTGTCTGCATGGAGCACGGGAGGGACAACGCGCGTTACGGTCGCAATGGCGCTGGCGGTCGTGATTTGCAGATCGGGTCGATGCGGTGGCACGAGAACAGCGCGAAGCACGAGGACGCCATGAAAAAGCAGGCAAACCTTCTGCAGAAGATCGTGGACCAGAAGAAGATTGAAGACTTCGCGAATGGAGATCCGGAAGGCTGTCGCGTCGCGGTACTCATGCGCGCCATGCGTTTTGTGTGCCGTACCGACACACCCATCCACATGTACCCACAGGTCTTGCAGCTTCTCGTAGAGGAGGGGGTCGCCAACATTCCGCAACAAAGCTATGGAGTGTACATCACGCAGTGAGTTGCTGTTGACTGGTCTGTATTCGAAGCAGCCGTCTTTGTTTAACGAGGCTAATGCGTTGTGCTATGTGAATGCGCAGGTACGGTTTCTCCGAGATGGCCAAGGCTCTCACCGCATATCTGACCAGGGAGCAATTGCGCGTCCTCCACGCCTCGCCCTTCATCGGCCTCATGTGCGACGAGAGTACCGATCGCGCCCGTGGCAAACACATGATTGTGTTTGTCACGTTCCTCAAGAACAGCGTGGTTGTAACCGAGTTCCTCGCGTTACTAACCGTGCAGCAATGTGATGCGGCATCGCTCATGGGCGCACTGCTCCAGCATCTCGAGACAGTGGGCGTCGACCTGAATAAGATTTCCGGAATGTCCACGGACGGCGCGGCAGTGATGATCGGGGGCACGTCCGGCGTTGTCACGCGACTGCGCGTCCACGTCCCCCACCTCGTCGGCTGCCACTGCATTGCGCATCGGTACTTGTGTCGTGGCTGATAATTTTAAATGACCGGTTTTACGTTAGTCGATCTTTAAAGTAATGTAACAATCCTTTTCTGCTCACCCCACTATTGCTTGCAGCGAAGCACTTGCTGTGAAGGAGACGGCCGAAGTCGAGCAGTTCCAAGATTTTCGGATGGTAGACAAGGCCATCGGTGCAGTGGGCGAGATCGTGGGGAGATCCACGCCGTGGTACGAGCGGTTCAAAGAGCTCCAGATCGTGATCCACAGCACCAACCTCGAGCACCAGGGACTGTTCGACGTGCGTTGGCTCTCCCGTGCCGATGCGGTCAACCGGCTTGTCAAGATTTTGGGGTCGGCAATCGTGCTCTTTCTGGAGTACAAGCACAAGATCGCCTCGGTTGTGAAGACCCTGAAATTCCACTTCTGTCTGTATTTCCTGGCAGACATTTTGGGGGAGTTGAACTCCCTGAACCGTTTCTTCCAACGACGCAAGGTAAAACGTGCCCGAAAGGATTGTTGATACACGCGTTTAGCCTTGTTTAATTTTCATTTGCCCACACAGACTAACAAACCTTTTTGCGCACATGTCGGTGCGTCAGGTGGAGGTGACGCAAGTCACAGAGGAGGTCGACCGTGTAGTGTCCCTCATCGAGCACCGCTACATCGACTACGATGGTGGTTTCGGGGCGGGTCTGAGCCCCATCCTGTCTCCATTCATGGCACGTGTCAAGAAAGGGGACAACATGGTGAAGGTGGACGGCGTGGACGCTAGCGGCATACCCGTCAAGCACACCTTCGAGCTCAGCGAGCTGGCGGACAAGAAGCACAAGTTCGGCGGGACGCTTGCAGATTGCGTGAAGTTGGGCAAGGCCTTCGCCCGTGAGGTCGTGTACAACCTGAAGCACCGCATGCGAGATCTTCGTCGAATGGGCGGCTTGAAGCTTTTCAGGGTGGACAAGTGGCCAGCGAATGCGGTCACGCGTGTGAGATGTTGTGCCACATGGCTCCGCGAGAACTCTAAACTTGTCAACCACCAGCTGCCAGGTTTGTGTATATCTTTTCGATCGTGTATGTGTGCTTTCCCTGAAATAATGCCTCTCGTCAATGTGTACCTAGCATTTCCGTATATAAAAAACGCTGTGCTGCGCTTACTGTTTTGGCAGGATTCGAACTGCGGGCAGCTGAACTTGAGCTGAAAACTTTCTGCCACGTCATGAGGACGTACCACGAGGACGAGGACTTCAACCAGGCGCTGACGAACATGCCGAGGTCACGCGACTAGCGGCGAACTTACCCCAACATCATGACCCTGTGGCAGGCGTTGGCCGTCCTGCCACTCAGCACCGTCGAATGTGAGCGTGGATTTTCACGTCAGAACATCATCAAGAGCTGGCAGCGCACGACTCTCAACGACACGCGGCTCACCAAACTCATGAGCATCCACATGCTCGATTACAACGTGGAGTGGCCAGATGTCGTGGACATCTGGCGCAAGCAGAAGAAGAGGCGGCCTACAAAATCCCCTGAACCCTTCCAACCAGCCAATGACAAGGGCGGGACAGAGGCCAGTTCGGACGACGAACGGGAGGATGACGTGGCTTACGATGAGTGAGCTTGTGGTAGTAGGTCATTGTGTACAAAGTTTAAAAAATTCAATAATTCTGGCAATGCAACAGCAATAGCAAACAATTGGTAACCACCAAGGGTTATAGATGAAAGTTACTCTGAAGTAACAGGGTTTTTAAATTGACAGCACGTGTTACACTGACATTTAAGAGCAGCGCAGCCACTCTGGATTTAAGGGTTAGGTCAAAAACGCCTTTGGAAACAAGAGTGCTCCAAAACCAAAAAAAAAGGCCTGGTCCCAATAGAGTGTACCGCTCCGAACCGAACTAAACCAGAGACGCGAAAATTTCGAAACTAGGGTGCAATTTGGTGTAATACGATGCAGTGCGGTAGAAACGATTGGGACACATCGTTTGGGACATGTGTCCACAGCGGAATGTACCCTAAGACAACTAGGTGGGTGGTAGGTGCCATCCCACCAACACTATCACACGAATCCGTCCACCAAGCTACCTCTCCACAACGCTCCTGCATATTCTATTCCACCCTTCTCCGACCCTTTGGTTTGTACCCAATATCATTGGCTTTTCCTCCAACTTGATCATTCCGTCATGTGCCACCAGTCATGCTCTCATGCAACAGGTGGCACCAGTGCCATAGAGCTTATCATGTACCATCAACCAAGCATCAACATCATGATCACCCACCTAAGGGGACTCAGCCCCTTTCACTTGCTCTCACCCACCCAAGGGGACTCAGCCCCTTTCACTTGCTCTCACCCACCCAAGGGGACTCAGCCCCTTTCACTTGCTCTCACCCACCCTAAGGGACTCAGCCCCTTTCACCCACTCATGAGCAGCACGCCTCCATGAGCCCCCATGCAGCCAAGCATGAGCATCATGCTTCCATGCTTAAGGGTGGCATCAGTGCAACTCATCATGTGCCCCCAACCAGCCAAGAATGAGCATCATGCTTCCATGCTTAAGGGTGGCATCAGCGCAACTCATCATGTGCCCCCAACCAGCCAAGCATGAGCATCATGCTTCCATGCTTTAGGGTGGCATCATTGCAACTCATCATGTGCCCCCAACCAGCCAAGCATGAGCATCATGCTTCCATGCTTAAAGGTGGCATCAGCGCAACTCATCATGTGCCCCCAACCAGCCAAGCATGAGCATCATGCCTCCATGCTTTAGGGTGGCATCAGTGCAACTCATCATGTGCCCCCAACCAGCCAAGCATGAGCATCATGCTTCCATGCTGAAGGGTGGCATCAGTGCAACTCATCATGTGCCCCCAACCAGCCAAGCAAGAGCATCATGCTTCCACGCTTAAGGGTGGCATCAGTGCAACTCATCATGTGCCCCCAACCAGCCAAGCATGAGCATCATGCTTCCATCCTTTAGGGTGGCATCAGTGCAACTTATCATGTGCCCCCAACAAGCCAAGCATGAGCATCACGCCCATGCAACAACAGGTGGCATCAGTGCCACCCGTCCCATCATGTGCCACCCAAGGGACTCAGCCCCTTTCTCCACCATCATGATTCACACAGGTGGCATCAGTGCCATACGGCTCATCATATGCCACTGCCATCCCCACAGCCACTCACTACCATACCACCTAGCCCAACCATCACATCCAGCCCACTCATCCCCTCCAACTCTAACTGCCAGCAGTAGAAGCAGCAGACAGCCCACTCCCCTTCGGAAACAGCACCCCCAGGGGCTGTGCCTTGAAGGGCGAGGTGTGGTAGTGGAAAATTGCTTCCAGCCCAAGACTCAAATCCTGCCCCTGGCGTAGCTAGAGCTGACGCGAACCAGAGTCGCCGGCCGGTCGACTCTGACGGTGCCCATTAAGCCTTAACGTCAGGTTAGTTACTTGAGCACCGAGTGCCGTGCCGCGCAGATTCCACCCACCACACCCCGACCCGCAAGGCACATCCCTAGAGGATGCTGCCCCTGAGAGAGTGACCTGCCCACTTGCTCCCATGCTTCCCACCGCCTCCCCACTCTCCCCTTCACCCCATGCCTCTTTCCTCTACCTACCACAGCCATGCAGAGCGCCATGTTGCCTCAGGGTGTTGGGAAGTGGGGAGGGAGGAGGAGGAGGGGGGGAGGGAGGAGGAGGAGGGGGGGAGGGGGGGGGGGGCAGGGTAGTGCGATGGCTCCCTCTCTCCCTCAGGCTGCATCGACTGTGCTGGAAAGTGGGGAGGGGGGCAGCGGGAGGGAGAAGGGGAGGGGGAAGTGAGGATGAAAAGAGAGATGCCTCTGTCCTGCCCTTGCTCCAGTGCTCCATCCATACTCAGGCTGCAAAGAGGGGTGGGGAGGGAGAAAAAGAGGAGGGGATCAGATTTCCATACCTTACCTGATACCATACCACTCCTCGCTCACGACTTGACCTAACCTAGCCTGTCTCTAACCCCCCACTGCTGCTGCTGCTGCTGCTGCTGCTGCTGCCGCTTCTGCTGCTACAACTGCTGCTGCTGGTCTGCTACTCAGCTTCTCTGCTACAGTCTTCTCTCGATGCCCAGTGGCCTGCAGGGGTGGGGGCAGAAGGATAGGGGGAAAGTAAAAGAAAGTGAATAGGCTGGACTAGAGAAATCAATGAACTGAAGTTGACGAGAAAGAGAAGGCGGAACTACAGAGCAGAAATAGAGAGGTTGAGGGCAAAAGGGGAGGCGGCGTACCTTGAGAGGCCAAGCCCAACCCGATACTCTCCCTTGTGGCAGCGACTGGCAGAGCTGCCCCGCTCCCATCCCCACAGACAGGCACCTGCACCCCACAGGCGAGGGGGGTGGAAGCAGACGAAAGGGGGGAAGTAAAAGCAAGTGAGTTGGCTAGACCAGAGAAGGAAAATCAAAACAGAAGTTGATGAAATCGAGAAGGCAAAACTGAAGAACAGAAAGAGGGCAAGAGGGCAGGTGACGTACCTTGAGAGGCCAAGCCCACCCCGATACTCTCCCTTGTGGCAGCGACTGGCAGTGCTGCCTCCCTACTATCCCCACGGGTACCTGCACGGCCACAGGGGAGGGGCGTCGTGAGGGAGCGTCGGTGTTGACCCCCACCCCTCCCCTCCACCTGCAAGCACACACGCAGAGCTGGTCAGTGGGCAGCGAGGGGAGGAAGGGTGAGAGTGCAAGAGCGAGAAGAGAGTTTGCAAGGCGAGAGCAGGGAGGGGCCACTGGTGGAGGCCAAGCCACAAAGCACAGACCCCAAGGGGTGAACCTGAGAGGGTACCTGCACCTGAAGGGGTTACCTGCACCTGAAGGGATTATTTCCACCTGATCTACACCTGAGGGGTTACCTGGAGTTGGGGGGTCTGTGGCATGTGAGGCGGACCTAGCGAGTGGCACTGCTTCAAGAGGAAGGGTGCGAAAGCAGATGCGACAAACGAAATGGCACCAGCAAGGGCGAGGGCATGGAGGAAGGGACACTTAGCTGATTGTGTGAGAGCGAGCAGAGGGCAGCTGAAGATGAAGCACCAGCAGATTACTCCCTTGCACGATCTGGTAAGGAGGGAAGAAAGGGGGGAATTACGAGTAACTGAGTTGCCAAGAAAACAACTAAAGCTGAGGGAAACGAGAAGGCGGAATTGAAGAGCAGAATGAGGGATGAGGGCAAGAGAGAGGCTGACGTACCTTGAGAGGCCAAGCCCACCCCTTAGGCAGGGCGAGAGAGGGAAAGGGCCACTGGACGGGGCAGGAGCAACAAGGCACAGACTCCAACGGGACCTAAGGAGGTAACCTGAACCTGAACCTGAGGGGGCTGTACGCTAAACCTGAACCTGAGCCTGAGGGCTTACCTGAAGGCAGAGAGAAAGTCTGTGGCTTGTGAGCCGGCCCCAACCAGTGGCGAAAGTTTCAGAGGCAAAGAGAAAGCAAGGAGTATGAACAATGCGGAGCAAGCAAAGGTGAGGGACGAATATGAGGAGGAGTGACTTCACTGGCAGATGAAGAGCCGCTGACAGGGCTGTTGCCTCATCCCTCCCTCCCCTCCCCTTCTCCTGCAGTTATCGCTCTGCCGCCTTCCCCGCCCCTGCTGCCGCAACTCTAGCTAAGCAACCCTCCCACCAGCCACAGCCTGTGTGCACACGCATAGCCACTCTGCTCCCTCCTCTGTTGTGGGGCTGACAGCCGCTGACAGGGCTGTTGCCTTATCTTTACCTCCCCTCCCCTTTCCCTTCTCTGCTGCCCTCCCCTCCATTGTTGCGCCAACTATGCTCCCTCCTTTCCTGAGGGGAGGGCAGGTGAGAGGATGACAGGGGTGTGATTGGAGAGCAGAGGAGTGGGGAGGGCAATGAGGAAACGAAAGAGTGATTACAGTGAGAAAGAGAGGAGAAGAAATCACAAGAGTGATGCGTGCATGAATGGACTGCTGCAGTGGCACACCCGAGAGACCTCATACCAGCTGAACCACACTAAAACCAAATACCTGAGCACGTACCTGCTACCTTGCTACCTTGGGGGAGGGAGGTCTCTTGAGTTTGACAGACGGCAGTAAAGGAGAGAGTTTGCTGCATGATGCAAGCGAGACATGAGAGGCAACACAAGTACGAGGGTTGGGAGGAGAGAGGCAGGGCAGGTGTGCTACGATACTCATCTTTACTTTCGTCTGGAGAGCCCAAGACGACCCGCTGGTGCCTCCGCTGGTGCCTCTGCTGCTGCCTCCGCTGCTGCCTCCGCTGCTGGCTCCTCGCCCCATGTCCATTGAGAAGCGCTCGGCAGGCAGCACGATGGCCCTCAACAGCAGCCGGCACTGAGAGTCAGGGAGGGGATGGAGGGGTGGGTGGATGCTGGAATCATGGGCAAGGGGGGAGGGGAGATGTCCAGTCCGAGGGAGACAAGTACAAGTTACTAGATGTGAATAATGGAGGGTAGGTATAACTTCTGTAACACACCCAAGAAGAGTGGGGGATCTTTACCTTACCATACCAGGGGTTACCTACCAAGGGGAGTACCTGACACCAAATTGAGAGGGCTTGGGTGTGCTAGAGGCAGCTAGAGTGACGAGGCCGCAGAACAGGAAGCAAGAGAAGCAACAAATGGCAAAACGGTCGAAGTTGAGAACGGGGTGGGAGGTGAAGCGATACTCATCTGCACTTTCTTCACCCCGTGCTTGCTGGAGGGCTCAGCACGACCCGCTGCTGCCTCCGCTGCTGCCTCCTCGCCCCCCGTCCATTGAACCGCATTTGCGTGGCAAAGCGATGGTCCCCAGCAGCAGCAGGCGCTGAGAGTCAGGGAGGGGAGAGGAGGCGAGGGAGGGGGGTGGTGGACGTTAGAATCACGAGCAAAGGCGAGGAGAGAAAGACGAGTGCGCGTGAGCAGATGCGAACAGAGGAGGGGAGGTATAGCTTCTGTAGCACACCCAAGGGGAGTGGGGGAACTTTGCTTACCGTACCAGGGGAGGGGTTGAAAGTTTGCACCTACCAAGGGGAGTACCTCACAGTCAGACCCTTCACCAGAAAGGGAGGGACTTGGGTGCGCTACAGGCAGCTAGAGTGACGAGGCAGCAAGCATGTGAAACAAACAAAACAACACGCGGAAAAAAAAAATCGAATACAGGCGAAGGGAGGGACAGTGGTGGCGCGATACTCATCTGTTGATCCGCGCTGTGGTTTGAGAGGCGCTGCGCAGCCCACAATGACCTGCTGCTGCCTCCGCCTCGCGTCCCACACCCACGCTCCTTGATTGTTTGGAACGAAGGTTCTAGTGGGCAGCAGGTGAACTGGGGGACAGGGAGGTGTAACGGGCGAGGGGGTCGGGAAGGATGGGGGGAGGGGTGATGAAACAAGGAGGACCGCAGTCGAGTCACATGCGAGAAACGGAAATTGGTGTAGCAAGTACGGGAGGGGGGGTATAGCTGCTGCAACACACCCAAGGGGAAACGGGGACCTTTACCTTACCGTACCAGGGGTAAAAAAAATTGCACCTACCAAAGGGGGTACCATATAGTCTGAACCTTAAAAGAAAAGGGCTGGACTCGGGTGTGCTACAGGCAGCTATAGCGACACAAGTGCGAAATGCTAAAATAGAGGCAACACAAGTGCGAGAGTTGGAAGGAGAGAGGCAGGGCGGGGTACTTAGCTTATCTTAGATGTGGGTGAGTTGGGTGGAGAGCAGCGGCGTGTGGCGGAAGAGAGAGGTTCACGGCACCCACCAGCGTGGCACCCGTCCGGGAGGTTGGGCAACGGCGTGACGCGCGGCGGCCTGCAGTGGGTGGAAAGACGCGGCGACAACTATCTGTGAAATCGATCGGGAAACGTACGTCAGGGAATCAGCTCGCGAAACAACGTACTGTGATACGAAAACGATCTGCAACTAGATCGCGAAACTGAAATTCGGGATCTAGTATTGCAGAGTTGAAACGGGAAACTGAAACGCGACAACTATGAACGAAATCGATCGGTGAATTTGCTCATCAAGATTGAAACGCGAAACGGAAAAGCGAACGCTTGACATGCGGGAAACTGATTTGCGAAATTGACTTTTATGTACGGGTGTGGCTTCGCCAAATACCTGAGCTGCTACGAAGGGAATCTGTAACTCGCATGCACTCCCCGAAATCGCACGAAGAACGAGATGGTGACATTGCTCGTGCTCGTCTCCCTTCCCAATTTGATCTTTTCCCATTCAGCGACTTGTCGCCTCGGTCGGAACAAACCTGCAACATGCAGTCGTCATCACGTCAGACGCGCCACTGAACAACCTCGCGTGCGCTAAAACGAAAGCATGCTACACAAACTAAAAAAAACTCGGATACGTGGAAAAAAGCACTCGCACTCAGACGTACCTTGCACACGAAAATCGCCATCCTCGCACTTGTTCTTTCGTAGTCAAAGTTTCCAGGCTTCACGCGCGATTTCCTCTTCCGACAAGCCATTTCCTCTTCCCGACGCAGCTTCTACATTAAGCCAGGCCTGGAGCAGAATGAAATAAGATTTCCTAACGGCTCTCCTTTTCGCAGTCGCAGGAGCTGTAAGAAAACGAGCAGAAGAAGCTTGAGCGAGAAATGAGAAAGTGAGAGCAAGAGGCGAAAGCGCCGTGAAATCCGAAGCTCAGGCGAGAATGAGGCGAGAGGCGACGGTGACGCTGGAATGAGGCGGAGGGGTCACTAACTGCCTCTCCTCTCCTTTCCTCACAGCAACCCTCTTCAGATCTACCGTCCAGAATCACTGATTTGTCTGAAACGTGCTGGCTAACCCAGATCGCAGCCGTCAGTTCGGACCTTTTGCGTGTTTCAGCACGACAAACCTAGCCATTTCCTCATTGGCGTACAGGTTAACCAGCTCCGTTGGGTTTACGACGAACAGCGACGACGGCTGCGAATGGTTTGCCCATGACAGGGAGGTTCGAGATTTCACATCGCTGGCTGGTTGAGAATCGTCCGCGTGGCACATAAATCTGCCGGTCAGTGAAGGGAAAAGAAAAATGCCATGTGTACGCCATTCGCTTGCGCCCTCCTTTCACTAAAGACGAACGACACCGACTTTATTCAGCGAGATTCCGTTGACGAAGGCGGGAGCTGCGGGATTTCGCTGGTGAACGTTGGACTCATGACCTAGAAACCGTCGATTGTTTTCTGATCTGGAGACGCAGAATGATCGTGTCAGTTTGGAACGCGGCAAGCTCAATGGTTTGAATTCGAAGCTAAGCACTAGGAGGGAAGTGAATCCTAGCCGTTGATATTGGTTCTAGGCAAGCAGCTGCGGTTGAGATCTGGGATTCTGCGACCATACACCCACTGACATTGGTGCTTCGATGGGCGAAGATGGCGAGACATCTCTGCTTCGCAATTGTTGTTACTCGTCGCTGACTTGGCAAAGAACTGATCCCCTGACACTCGCTGGTTCCACCATTCCGAGAAGAGATGTTGTTCGGGTCAAGTATACATCGGAGGTTGTGCAGAGCAGGTACACCAACCCCATCGTAGAATATGATTTTCAAACACTGAGAAAATCACTCTAAATAAAGCCGCTGTATCGAGGCTTCCATAACGAGGATACAAACCACACTACAAACTTCCATCTGCAACTCTGATCGACATTCGCCTTTGTCTCAGATCTTCATTTGATCGGTTTGATCATCACTATGGCCTTGGAAACTGTCATCGAGTGTCCTGAGGAAGGCATGGTTGACCAAAGCGCTGAAGAACTTCCACAAGAAGCCGGCGTAGGCAACAGCACGCGAGATCTAATCTCGCAGCTGTTGAATCAGACTCAAAGCGCTATGGAAGGTCTGCTGCCTGACATAGAGTAAGTGCCATCTGGCGTCATGTCAAGCACCAAGGATTTTCACTGCCAATTTGACGACTAACATGAGCGTTAACTCTTTCAGTTCTCTCAATTACGAAGGAATTGACATCGGCAGAGAGCTCGAACGAATTAAACAAGATACTCTTGCCACACAAAGCAAGCTGCAAGAAGATCGCAAAAACGTCCAGGATGCCGTCCAGAGAGTTTTGGATCTGCTGCACTGGTAGTCGAATTTATAGTTTTGGAAGATTAACGCTGTACATTGTATCTTCAAATAAAGCTTTTCAGACGTTTCGACCCACTATGGAAGTACATTATCTACAATACTGAGGCTACGGAGGAAAATCCACTGACTGGTCTTGTCAGTGAAGAAGCATCAGTGGGTTCTCATCTCACTGACTGGTCATGTCAGTAAGAAGCATCAGTGGGTTATGGTTATGGAATCAGTGAAGAAGCATCACGGCCGTTGGCTATAGTTATGGAATCTATCGGCTGTCAGCGGCTATTCCACAAGGCGACAGTTAGTAAACGAGGGGCTGCGAGGCACAAGCGGTCACTAGTTTCTGTATCCTCTCAAGCTCGTCAGAGTCAGCCTTACTTTCAATTTCCATTGCCAAGGAAGAATCTCCTCCTACCTTACCATAGACGTCGTCTGAAACCGGAACCAGATGCCTGGGCGATCCTACTGCGGTTATGTCAACGTTGCTGAGCCGCACATTGGTACAAGGTACTGTCTTGCTGCAACGAAAAACAGCACCCTCGTCTCCAATGGTTGTGCCGTGGATGTTCGAGAATGAAACGCCCGAGATAGCGACGTTTTTGGACTTTACTGAGCTTCGCGAGAGCAAGCTCCCTCCATTGTAGAACTGCAAGTTGAAGGAGCCACAGGAATCACTGTCAATGCCGCTGTACAGTGAGACGAAGTTGGCATAAGCAGATTTAATCAGATAGTTCACTTACCTGATCCAGAACCAGTGGGTACCGAACCCCCTCCATTGTGATGTCCTCATACGCAATGTTAGTCGCTGCACCAGTTCCACCTTGGAAAGTCTTTATGCGTAGGCCTATCTTCGTGTTGAAGAACCGGACGGACTTCACAGTCACGTCTGAAACGCAGGAGAGTGTTGATATCTTGCCACTGCCAAGTGCTCCAATTCTGCGCATTATTGCGATAGAAGGAAAGTGAGGAACACCATGACACTGGAATACAACAATTCCACGACCATACACGGTGGTGTGATTGAGGCATCCAACATTGGGGTACGGGTGACATACGATATTCCATGTCCGCTGAAGGCGGTAATGTTTGAGATGCTGACTCCTCTCGCGCCGTCCCACAGAACAATGTTGTCATCACCTGCATTGGAACAGACAATAATGAGATGGTGTGGTTTATGCTACGTGTACTTACAAAGACAATAACGAGATGGTGTGATGTTGAAAACTTATTCAACCACTTACCGCCCGCCAGAATGCAGTTCCGAATATCAACATTTGTTGACACGGATACATGAATCCCGTCCGTGTTTCTGCTCTCTGCAGGGGTGTTTGTCTTGAAGTCAAAGATCCTCACTCCCACGCAGCGAGTAACTTGCAGGTGGAAAAATGGTGCATTCCTGTGATACGGCGGGTCATTGACATGAGTCAGATTGCATAGTACTGCTGAGCGTGACCGTGTGATAGATGAGGAAGTAAATGATGCGAAGGATAGGGAACCAGCAAGACTTACTGAAGGGTGATGCCGCTAATGCTCGTGCCGTTGCACATGTAGACATACACCAGCACTGGTCGGTCGCCTCCTTTCTCCCAGAACGACTCCCCTTGCCCGTCAATAAACCCCGAGCCGAACACCGTCAGGTTCGTGATCATCCCAAATTGAATAAACGCGAAAATGCCCTTTCTGGATGACGACGGATACCTAGAGAGCTTCTCAGGTG